TCTGAGCCCCAGCATCAATTCATTCCTGGCAACGGAGCTGTGTATGGGCGGACACTGATAGCATAGACTTTCCCCATCCCAATTTCCAGATGGGTGAGAATCTTACAATTCCACTTAAACTACATAAACCTTATGGTTATATCGAGAAGGTTCATACATAATATTATTCACAAAACACTCACCTCTTTAGTAAACTTTAATGTTTGTAAAGCTAACTCTCTAGTAGGTGACATAATCATAGCTCTAGCTCCATTTGATGAGTGAATCTTTAACTGCTCAAACAGTGGAATCAAGAAAGCTGCAGTTTTTCCACTACCTGTTCTAGCCATTGCTACTACATCTTTACCATTCATAATAATAGGTATTGTCTGAAATAGACAGAAACCTCATGAATATTGATATAGGTTGCCCCCCGATTAGTAAGTCAATAGACTACCATTATGTCAATATTACAATAATAAAACAATGTCTTTTGAAATACTTCATACATTCTTCCCTTCTACTAACAATTAAGGAAAAGTCCAGTAGAACCTATACTTACCTTTCTTTGAATTGGTGTTGGTATTTTATAGCCTTTATGTTGAATACCTTTAAAAGTATTAGTTGATAATCCTAAAATTTAAACAAATTTAACATAAGGAATTTAATCTATTGTAATCATATCAAACTAAGTCATCAAAATTAAATTGATCTTGCTTCAAGGCTTCGACTGATTTGAGTCATTTCTTAAACAGGGTTCATACAGCACTTTGCCTCAAAAATTCAAAGACTTTTCAAGGACTCTGGGCTTTGAAATTCTAGGACTTTTCAAGGATATTAGTCTGACAGAATACACATGTACCTTACTTCTGAACTGTGAAATCAATACAGATAGTTAATATTTGTCAATGGGGTTAATGATAAAAATATACACAATTTGACTCAACTCAAAATTCAACGACTTTTCAAGGGTTTTTTATGGTGTTTTCAAAGACTTTTTTTGAAATCAAGGTTTTTCAAGGCAACGGACGGGATTCAAGGAATATACAGACCCATTGACTGAAAACCTCCAGATTTCTTTTTCTTTCTATTTTGACTTCTAACTAAATCTCTTGTATTTGATACTTCATCATCATAATCATCATCACTTTCATCGAAATCATTATTCTCTTCATTATCCTTTATCTTTT